TTTTCTTGAAAGCAGCCGAACGGCCCCAAAAATTAAGGTGGGTTTTGGAGGGTCTCGGAGCCCGGCTGGGTGCGGGGTGCGGGCAGAGCACGGGCAGGCAGCAAAAACCTGGCAGAAGCGTTTCTGTAGTGTAGTGGTTATCACGTTCGCCTCACACGCGAAAGGTCCCCGGTTCGAAACCGGGCAGAAACACTAGATTCTTTTTTTTCCTCGCTTGTTTGGGAGGGTTAAATTCTTCCCCTTTTTCCCCCCCTTTTTTTTTTTTGGCAAAAATACTACCTTTCCCATTTCTCCCGGGTTTTTGCACGGTTTGGATAAATATTTCCCGCTGCTACCCATACCAAATAAATTTTCTAAATAGCCAATAACACCCATTAAAAAAAAAAAAAAATAGCTATTGCTAAATAAAACCGGCCAGGCTGGGCTGCAGCAAGCTACCAAGTACCTTTGGGGACGCCTGGCTGCTGCGTTAGGGTGGAGGGGACATCCTACCGAGGCAGGCGTGCACGCGTGGGAAGGTCTAGGAACAAAAAGAGGAGGTAAGGAAGGTTTCTAAGAGGGCGTCGTCTTATAATATGAAAAGATTTTTCCAAAAAAAAATTAAAGGGGGGGTGAGAGAAAAATGGATTTTCCCTGACCGGGAATCGAACCCGGGCCGCGGCGGTGAGAGCGCCGAATCCTAACCACTAGACCACCAGGGAGGCTGTACACAACTCATTGCACACTGCTGCATCACAGCCAAGACCAATTATTGCATTTTTTTAATCTGTTTCCCACTTATTTTCCATTTTTTTTCCCTTGTCCTCACCACACCCTCCACCTCATCCCCTCACCGCTGCAGCTCAAGCAGAAAGGTTGTCCCAGCAGCCACCCCATGGCTTTCCTTTGGGGAACAGCGGCATTTCCTGGCCGCCCGGTGATCAGATTTATCCACATCCCGGTGCTTCTTGGAAAGAAAGGACACCCCGTGGCACGACACAACACCAAGGGCCACCCCTTAGCTCCCCTTGCACGCCGCTTGTTACTGGGAACCAGTTTGGAGTTGCTCTCCCCGGGGCCCATCGCTGCGCTGTTGCATGACGAGAAGCGCTGGCTGTGCTGCTCGTGTTATGAATTCTCCTGCTGTTTTCTGCATGCATGCAAAAAAAAATTAATTGTGGGGTGTGCAGCAGCTTCCAGGAGGGTTTTGCATATACCTGGGTGCGTGGAGGCCTGCGAGAACACCTTCCCTCCTCTGCTGCTACTTAGGGCCAAGCTTCTGAAATGCATTTTGGCTCCTAACTATAACTTAAGGACTGAAAGTTTTGGGCGTTTAAGCAGAAGTGCTATCGCGTGGTGCAGGAATGGTTATCACTAATACAAGACTCTGCTCTGCCCAGCTGGGGATTTCGCAGCGGTTCCCATTCGCTGCCCTCGAAGTGCCAGGATAAAATAACCACAAGACAGACTGCAAAGGAAGCAATTTCTTATTCTCGTTTCCGTAGTTTGCATTCAGCAGCTGAGGCAAACAAAGCTTTTCAAGCGATCAAAGGCGCGTCCGTACAATCGGTTCGGATATCTGAAAAACACCGACTCCATCCACTGGGAAATGCTCCTGTGAGCACACTCCGTCCCTCCTGGGTCCTTCCTTATGCTCCCAAATATCCATTAGGCACCAGCTCAGCCCGAGGCTGTTGCTCCATAAGAGGTTAAAGCTGACTCTGCCTGGGGAAGGATTTATTTCTCTTGGTTTTTGGCATCCGCAGGAGAAATGTCTCCATGCCATCTAATCAATCTGGGCTCCCTCTGTAATCAGAGAAGTAAATACTCCCACAAGCACTTGTCGAGCCATTTCTAGATGAAATAAATTAAAATTTGCCACCGTTCTCCACTGACCCTGGAGGGACTGTAGCCTGAATGGCTGCATATGGAGAGGTGAGTCCTTACAACGTCCAAAGGTGTGGACATCACACAGCACTAAGCATTGCTCCAACACAAGCTCACACCAGGGATGCAGGTACTTCTGAGGATTTAAAGTACCCTTCCACCAGCTCAGGCCTTGCCTATCTCACCCTTGGATTAGATTATCACCACCTTGTCAGAGATCGCATTGAACTTGAAGCCATCATGAAGTCCTCCAGGCTTTTGCATCGTCGCATCTATGCTCAGTCGCGCAGCTGAAAGCTCGGTGAGCCAAAAAAAGGGTCCAGCAAACGGCAGGGATGCATGATCGATCGGAGAGGGCGGAGGGGGAGAAACTGGGAACCGGCTCGGCGTGTGTTCAGCTCAGTTCTATCCCTGTCCTCCGACAGAGAGGTTTTTGGAGGGGATTTATGGGCATGGATGCACCAAGGCAGCAGCACCGGCAAAGCCACTCAATGGCAGAGCAAGGCAGTTTTTTGGGGGGCAGAAAGGCAGCCCCCCTCCTCTAAAAGCTCTGAACCAACCAATGTTTCTTGCTGACATAAATGATGGGAAAAAGAGAATTTTCCATCCTGGGCAGCGCATTCTTCATGCTCCCAAAAACCATCTCTGGGGTGATGAGCCCCCGCGGTCTCCCCAGCCCCCAGCAAGTGAAGCTCGAGTGGATGCTGTCCCATGGGGGGGTCATGGGGAGAGTGTGAACTGGCACCCCCTCCCCAGGCAGAGAAGGGGGAGGATTCTCTCCCCTGCAAAGGATGTCGGGGGGTAGGCGAAGATCGGTGCCTCATTATTGGAGTCGAAAAACGCCACTCGCCCCGCCTCGTAGTCCAGGTAAATCCCAATCACTTTGGGGGCAGCGAGCAGGGAGATGGGGATGGTAGGAGAGGTGAGAGCTTGGTACTGGCTCCCACACTGCCCCACCGCCCAGATCCCCACCTTGGGATTGACGCTGATCCGTCCCTTCCTCCTCACCGACTCCTTGGCCACCCCAACCGCCCAGGCTTCCCCATCGCCCACCTCCACCTCCCAGTAATGCCTCCCCGTGTCGAAACCCTCGCAGCCCAGGACGCAGCGAGACGAGTCGAAACGCTTGGGGTTGTCGGGTACGGGCTGGCGGGTGTCTTCCCATCTCACGCACTTGCGATCCTCGGATAGGACGAGCCGGGGATGCGCTGTCTCTGGATCCAGCGTCAAACTTACTGCGGACAGAGAGAAGATGAGCATCGTAGGCACAGCTCACTCCTCAAGGGCATTAGGGTCACGTTTTCCCCATCTTCCCCCAGTTTAACCTTGGGATGATCCAGCTCCCAGTCCCTGTTTGCTGGAGCAGAGCAGGAATGGATTTATGCCCACAAGCAAGATTGGAAGAGCAGAAAAGACGGCTGCATGAAAGAAGCTTGATCTAGAGTAAAAGTAAGGCTTTGAAGTGTGTATTTTTTTGCCAGAAGTCTCCAGGCCATTGAAAAAGAGGAAAGAAAGCCTCAGGTGTCCCATAACTTTCCTTTTTTAAGTTCCCATGTGGAAATATTTGCAATTTTCACCTTTGGTCTCATTGAGAGAGGTGATTTCCAAAGGTGACACTGACCCTACCTGAGGTCCCACGGCACCCCAACGCTTACCATGCTCCTTGAGCTCTGCCAGGAGGCAAACTCGCCCTCTCTCATGTAATCAACTAGGGTAATTGCTTCTTGCTATGCTCATATGGCTACAGCTTGGCAGGACATGTTGGAAGTATCTCTCCATTTCACCAGGACTTCTCCTACCTAGCTGAAATCTCCTTCCTTAGATCTGCCGCAGACAGACCCAGCACAACCTCAAACCCTCTCCTTCCCGGTTTCTCTGTACCTCGAAATTTCATCAGCATCTCTTTGAGGGCAATATTTTTCTGAGGAAGACCGGTGGGTTTCTCTCCCAGCTCAGGCGATGTCTCTTCTGGCTTCTGGGCCACGTCCTTCTCAAGCCTGGAAAGAAGGAAGACCTTTCTAATAATACTTCCTTCACTCATAATTGTCATTATGCACTGACTGGTTTTCAACTGGGATTTCTTATAAAGAAATAAGTAATAGTAGGACTAGAGCGATGGCTTGGTCCAAGGGCACTCATTAATGAGCTCCCAGAGAAGGATTATGTATCTACTTTGTTCCCAAACACCAGTGAAGAGTCCCTGGATGGTAAAGGCTTTCTGTCATGACCAACAGCTCTCTACATCAAGGGAAATGCAGGCAATAAAAAAATGCCTTTCCTTGCCTGCTTTTGTCTTTCCAATAACCCACCTTCTCAATCCATGTCCAAAGAGGACATGAAGAGGTCTGTTATAGGGGTGGAAGTTCATACTGGATTCACTTCCACCCGGATGCACTCCTTAGTGTTTAAACATCCACTTATTTTTAGCTGCTGGCTCGCTATTTTTGACGGGTTCACAAGGGCAGGGAGTGAAAGCTCAGCCCTCCAGGAATAAGTAGTTTTGGATGGACTATAGAGAAGAAGCTGCAGCAGAGCTGAAGGTACCATCAACCCATCTGATACCTTTCCCTGGTCTTCAGTATCCTACTTGGACTTTTTGCAGTGTCCTAGTTGCCTCCTATATGTCTATACAGTCCCTAGCATACGGGGATCGTAAGTGGCTGGGAGTTTCGGAGTCCATCAGTGTCACCACCGTAGAGATAAACAACATTAACATCGCAAGAACACGTGAAAGGAGCCGCAAACCTGCTCAAGATGTTTCTGCTCTCCTACAAGGGAAAGATGAGAGAAGGAGCATTAGGTCAGAGCAAAGTCAGCCTGATAGTAAACAACGAGTAGCTACTGCAGGGCTGTGGGGTGACCTCAGGTAACTCAAGGCATTGCTCTGTCTAAATTATGGGTCTAAAATTAATACTGATCTGCCTGCGTGGTGTTTGCAGATCTGCCGGGGAGTTAGGCGAGGTCATGGCAACATCACTTAATGAGCAGCTCGGTGTAGTTATCTGCCATCACCCACCACCTTTCATGTCCCTGCTCTTCCAGTACGGGCATTATTACCGCTAATGCACACCACTGCTTCAGCGTATTTGAATGTTTTAAGTCAGGAGTTAACCAGAGCCTCGAGGTGTGCTCAGGTGATGGGTTTGGACCACTACCTAAAGACGAGATGAGTGCCTGTCGTTTCTCCACTGCATACGAAGGAACTCGGACAGTTGTTTTGCATGTAGACACGTACAACCAGATGGATGAATCCCATACCCATGTAAATAGACAGTGATTTAAACAGACTGTGGTTGATTTAAAATATTCAAGTGGGCAGTTGGGCCATGCTTGTGATCATTGAAGAAAATAATTAAAAAAAAAAAAAAAAGCTTTGAAAGATACATTTTAAAACGAGTATTTAGAATTAATTTGACTCCTGGGCTGGTGACACCAGTGGTGTTCAAGGCCAGTGGTCTTCAGAGGGGCCTGAGGTCTCACCTGCAGGAATTCACACGCTGGCTTCTGACACTTCTCCTCCAGTTCACCGATCTGCTTGCCGATGGAGGAGATCTCCTCCAAGAGCCTGTTGATGTTCTCCTCCTGTCTCCTCATGATCTCCTGGTCCAGCTTTGCCAGCTGGTCCAAGAGGAGACGTTCCTGTCCCTCCACGAACTCGTGCAGTTCCTTGACTTCAGACACAATTTTCTGCCTCTCCATTTCCACTTGTTCCTGCAACGAGAACCGACGCACGCAAGGGAGAGGCAGGGCTGGTGGCAGAAATGGTCGAGAAAAAATTGCAACAGAAAATGATGACTTATAACCCAGCCATAACTTCCAGTGACTGTTGCAGAGCAGAGGAATAATAAAGACAATTTTTTTGTCATTTCTAGGCTGACGTCACTGAGGACAAAGGACATTTCCCGTGTACTGTAATCTTTGTACCCAAAACACTCCAGACCTTTGAACAACATGGGAAGATACAAAATAAAACCATAAACAGATTAGTCAGTGAAAGAGGTCAGGGAAAGGGAAAACAAGGCAAGAAAGAAGCAATCGGGTGATTCCCATTTCCTGTATGTATTAATAGGGGGAATCTGGGAACGTGCCCCACTTGTGAGCAAACCGAGGAAGAAAAAGATCAGCAATAACCTGGCAAAATCCAACACATGGTCCCAGCCTGCTAAGATGTACAAGGAGCAGAAGACATGGGGAAAATGGGAGTGGCTTTTAATCTACCATGGGGACAGGCTGTCGCCGCTGCCCACACCTTATTGCAATGGAAAGAACATTCCCGTACATGTGCAAGGGACCGTGGAGACGTGATCTTTGGCCATGGCACATCTCACGTCTCCACATCTATTGCCATGGCCAGAGGGACAACCGAAAGAAAAGGGAGAAAGCTGTCGCCACCCAGAGATAGACACTTACGAGGAATTCCTGGCTTTTTGCTTCCTCAGCCACTTTCAGCCCCAGCAGCTTTTCTCTCCTGTCCTTCAGGATCTGCACATGAGCCTGGAATTTCTCCTGAGTGGACAAGAAACACCTTGCTGGTGCATTTTCTTCCTCTAGCTGGTCCATCCCTCTACCCTCATCCCACTTATCCAGGTTTCTCTCCTACAAACTCAGATTATTCCCTGCTTAATAACACAATAACCTGGCACTCTGAATTCATAAATCGTGATTTCTGGGAGAGCAGACAGCCAGAACTGGTTGCTTTCTCCCACAGCCAGGGTGAAATTCATGGCATAGATTGGAAAAGACCCAGGTAAAGGACCAAATCAATGGAAAAGGAGCTTTAAATGATTGGGGAGCCCCTGCTGGCATCTGCTGAGGTTCAGCCTGTGCTCAGCGCTGACCCAAAACTCAGAAGCTTGGGCTGTTTGCTCAGTTCAGCTGCCAAGGAATGTGCTTTTTGGTCACAACCTCAAAGCCCGGATGGGACATTCAAGCCAGTTTATGGGGGGGAGACCATACCCTCCATCACCCTTGTGCGGTGAGACCAGGGTTACATCACACGTCTGCGGCGAGAGCAAATTTTTTTTCCCACCTTCAGCGAAATCAGTTTTCACAACAACCAGCACATGCACACAGTGAAACTGGAGCCCAGACCATTGACTTGCTGGAAAACCCAACCCTGCCTTGCACACCAGCACCGTAAGACCAGATTCTGTCCTGTACATCCATGTGCAGCATCTCCTGCACCCCAAATGTGCGAGACAGCATAGCTGACCCTGCTTTGAGCAGCAGGTTGGGTTAAATGATCTCCTGGGCTCCTTTCCAGCACGATTTGTATGAAGACACCATGATGATACGGAAATGACAGCTTCAAGGCAGTTGGGGTGACCAGCAATGTAAGCGAGGGGGAGCGCAGAGCGGGCAGGGTGGGGGCAGCAGTAATCCAACGCTCATGCCATGATGCAGAAAGCAGATTGAAAGGGGTAGAAATCCAGATGTCTGCAAGCAGAACAACCCACAGGGCAGCTCCCTGACCCGGTTCCCTCCTCCTCCCTCATCCCCGCGCCACGCACGGAGACCTCCCACCTTGTGCTCCTCCGCAGCCTCCTCGATGGGGACCACGGCGTGGACCCGGTGAGCCTGGGACTCTCTGCAAACCAGGCAGATGGGGGTCTGGTCCTCCTCACAGAAGAGTTTCAGAGCTTCCTGGTGCTTCTCGCACAGCTTCTCCCCCCCTGCCCCTCCTTTAGCTGCCTGCAAGCTCAGCCGCTTGGCTATCTCGATGATTTTTGCCAGCTCCCGGTTAGGTCTCAGGTTTCTCTGCGGGGCCGTCTCTTTGCACTGAGGGCAGGCGAAATTCTCCTCGGCTTCCTCCCAGCAACGGGTGATGCATGCCCGGCAGAAGTTGTGACCGCAATGGATGGAGACGGGGTCCTGGAAGAAGCCCAGGCAGATGGAGCAGGAGGCTTCGTCGCGGAAACTTTCGGCAGGGCTGTCTGCAGCCATGGTCTCGGCGGCAAAGATGACGGGGCAGCTTTTGTTTTCCGCCCTAGCTGGTCTTGCCCATTGGCTGCTCCCCTTCCTGCAGGTGCCTCGGGCCCCGAGGGAGGTGAAAGTGAGTGGCAGAGGAGTTTCGCTGCCGAGATGCGCCAGATTTTCTCCGGGTTGCGACCACTGCCAAGCAAAATGCTGCGCTGAGCAGCTGCAGAGGGGAAGGGGGAATCCCCCTTTCCCCAAGGACCCCAGTGGGTTGAAAAGAGATTAAATGGAAAATAAACATCCTTCATAATCTCCTGGCTTGTTAGAAATTCACCTGCAGCTCCCGTATGACACCCCCTCCCCCAAAAAATACCCAGGGAAATGAAGGGGTAGCTCCTGCCCCAAGCCTCCCCGTGGCACCCCTAAACCATCCTGGATTCATTGCTCATTAAGAAGTATGCTTTTAATGTATTAATTGAAGGGCACAGCCATGAGGATAGAGCTTAAGCCAGTCCCCTGCCACAGCTAAGTCTCCCTTCTTCAAGTTAAACCAAGACGACACATCTTTCGCTGCTCATTTCAGCTCTTTATTATTTATCATACCTAACTGCTGGCTTCACCGCCATCCTGCCAGCGTCCTCGTTTCTGCGTGTGTACGTGCAGCTATAAATACCTTTATCGTTGCTTTCGATTCTCCTTTTAAACATGATGCCATTTCTTTCATGGTTCAGGGCTGAGCCTGGCGTCAAGCAGCAGCCAGTTACCACTCACCCTCTTATCTTTAATTTTCCTTTTTGTCCAAGCTTGCCTGCAATTAAGGAAGGGAAGGGATTTTCTTCCACCCTGTAAATTAAATAACTCCACAACCAGCCGTACCCCTCACTCAGTCTGCTCAGAAGCGGGTTCTCCTTCATCCAACATCCCACCACGCTGCAGGAGAGCTTCCTTCACCCCTCAGCCGCCACGTCTTGGGGAAAAAAGGTGATATTTCAGGAATGACCTTCCAGCAATGGAAATCTCCCCTCCCACGGCTGCTTTTTGATTTGCAAAGTCACTTTGCTCCAGCTGCGCTGACCTTGCACGGTCGGTTGGGTGCCTGCCTGCATAAACGTGCCTCCCCCTGCTTTTTGTGCACCAGTTTTTAAAAGTCTCAGCGTCCCTGGTTTTCCTGCAAAGTCCCTCGCCTCAGGCTGTAGCAATGAGCTCCCAAATCCACCAAGACCTCATCCCAAATTGGGTTTCGTAACACCAAAGTAGCAAATGTCTTCCTCTCCTTCCCTCCAGCCCTCTGCAGCTTTCCTAGAGGGACAGCAGTGTTCTTCTTCCTCTTGGACACGAACCCCCCAATTCACTCAATCCCATGGACCTGTGGCATGTGGAAGAGCTGCTCCCTGTCCGAAGCCCTTTGCGTGCCGGAGCGAACGGGGCTTATTTGCATTGGGCTGAGGCTGGGTAACGAAGTGACACATTTTCTGAGAACATCAGTAAATAACGCATCCGCCGTTATTTGTTTGCAAGTGTTTTCAGGGGTCATGATTTTCCGGTGCAGCACTCTTGAGCACACGAACACTCAGATTGAAACCTGTGGTACGGTTTCGCACTCAGGGCTTTTTTTGTTGTCGCTGATCCAGAGTTAAGGGTTGATTTAGTGGGGAACAAGATGTGCCAAGAGGCTGGTGTTGGGATGGATATGTCTGAGGGACTGCTTGGCTTTGACTTTTGCGTTTAGGACATTGCTTTCTCTCCCGCTTTTCTTCCTCCTGCTGTCCCACAAGTGCTGGCAGCATCATCACCTCTGCCCTGGTGCCAAAAGCCACGTTTCCTCCCCAGTTACCTATGAGTCACATAGTCAGAGTAATCACCCAGCCGTCGCTTGCAGCGGCTTTACTCTTTGCCTGTGCCTCTTTTGAGCTTGGTGCGCCTGGAAAAGCATCTCAGCTTCTCCAAGCCCAGGAATATCAGTTGATTTTTCAAGCCCCGAAGGCACTGAGGAGCGTTAACAGCCCTAAGCAGCTCCACTTGGGACCCCCCCACCCTCTGCCCATGGCCCAGGGGCTCTATTTAAGCTCAGTCCTGGGGTGTGGTCCTTTTGCAAGCTGCCTTGGAGGAGCACCCATGCATGGCTGTGGACTCTGCTGATCCATCCCTTCATGATTCATTACTGCAATGCCCTCAGTGAGAGAATTTTACCCCCTGAGAAAACTCAGCAGAGGTTTGGTGCCGCTTCTCCCAGGATGGAGAAAATGCGGGTGTTGTAGGGGTGTTTGATCCCATCATTGGTGTGGTGGGCGTCTGGGTGAGGGATGTGTATGGGAGAGACTGCAAAGCATCACTTGCCGTGTCTAGATGATGCTGAACTTGATCTTAAATAGCAGCAAGGCACAGAGAAGGGAACCATGGGGTACTTAAGCGTGTCCGTCTCCTGCAATATCAAATTTAAACCTTTGGGCAAAACTCACTGAAGGCGCAATTTGACTTCGTGGATAATCTGGCTCAGCTCCTGAAGGTGCGCTGGGTGCTTTTTTTTTTTTTTTTTTTTTTTTTTTTTTACAACTAAAACTTTGCATTAGAACTGTCTATGCAGTAAACTGGGTTGGGTATATGAGGCAGAGTAAAAATAATGACACCCTTCTTCAAACGAGCCCTTAATTGGCTGTGTGTAAGCAACGGGGACTATTAGCGAGTGCGGTCTCAAGAGGGAGCTGGAGGCTCTGTTTTGAAAGCGAAGACGACATTTGCTCCATGCCTCTGTGCAGGAAAAAAAAAAAAAATTAGTAATCAAAGGTTTTCTGTGGGATTCTGCTTAATTGCTTCAAGGCATAGGTACGGGGCTGGGGGCAACCACAGTTACCCATCAGGCACAAACCACCCTGCATCAGTTTTCTCCTTTCTTTGTGTTGCGTGGTTTTGCTCCTGCCGCCTTTTCCCACAGTTTCAGGGTTAAATCTTAATACAGGCCAGGGAAAGGGGTGCTTTTTCCTGTAGATGTTGCTTTCAGGGGATCAGCTAGATGAAGGAACTGTTTGGGATGAAAAAAATCCATTGGGAAAGGATTTTTTTTTTTTTCCAGCCTGGTTGATACCTGACTCTGCAGAGGCGGAGAAGGCAGGATGGTGATGGCCAAAGCTACAAATGGGTCAGTTCAAAAGGACGGTTCAAATGCTAAAAAGGTTCAAAGCCCCCACTGGTGCAGACAAGATTTTCCCAGAGGGATGTAAGGACTAAGTGATGATCTTCCCAACAGGGAGCAAGGCGATGAGTTTGCTCTTGGCTGGGGCATCCAGCCCCTTTTGTGCTGGAAATGGGATCCCTGGGGTGCCGGCATCTATCAGTACCTGGAGAAATACCATGCTAATAAGCCAGGACTTGGGAATTGATCCTGATTTGCAATGCAGAAGATGGGAGCAGTTTAATGCCTGAAGCTGGAGGGAGGCAGGATTTGGGGGAGGGGCGG